CTCCATTTGACAAACATTTGACCAATACAGTAGTAGTGTCGTGCTAAGGTTGACTTCATTTTGGGATTATTTATCTGCTGTTTAACAAATATCGACAAGGCTTCATAGGCAACTTCAGGTGCTTTAATATGGTCGCCTAGACCGTTATACGCCAAGGCTAGACAAACTAATGTTGTTGAAATAATTAGGTGTTCATCGCCGTAAACAATTCGCCGGTATTTCAATACTTGATTTAATAAATTTAAACAGTGTGAATATAATTCTTCTTCATAAAATCTTCTAGCTACTTTTTCAATCAAAGTAGCATGTGTAGATAAATCTTCAGTGTCTGGTGTTTCGATTGACTTCACTATGTCCAGTGCATCTTTTATCGAATTAGTGTCAATATACTGAAATATTCTGTACATATCATTTGAATAGGTCCCGGCATATTCAGAATTCCAATAAGAATCATACTGTCTAGATTCACTCCACAGTTGTTTATCATAAAATACCGAGTTAACTTCATACAAATCCAGTTGATTCAGTGTACACATAAACTTCCAGTATTCAGTCTCTTCACAGATGGCAGCATGCTTAGTTTGTGTTTCATGAATTTTCTCAATACAATTAGCAATGTTGAATTTTAATTCCCTATTTCGACGTATTAACAGTTTCAGGTTGTTGCGTATATTCACAAGCCAGTTGTTTGCAGTTTCCACATATTCACTAGATGTCAGCAGCAATTGAAGTGAATTGCAAGCAACACTACTTAATTGTGATAAACACTTTAATTTTACCTCATAATCACAGTCATCTTTTTTATCATAGTGCTTAATTAATTTTAGGATACTTGAAGAAGTGGCTGCTAATTTATCTATATTGTATTTTATTGTATCAAGTAGCTTATTATTATTATTCATGTCAGCATTAATCCCCAGTTCACTTTCGCATTCTCTAGATTTATTACTAAAATGCATCATGTTGCATATAACTTACAGTTCACTAAACTAGATAATCGATTGCCAGTGGTTCAATAAATTTGAAATATACTACAAATTATATGTATACATATATATCGCCTTCAACAGCGTAGCGAGGAAAAGTAATTTGGAAACTACTTCAACACTACGGCGTGCAGTACCAAAGTCTTTGTCAACCTCATTCAACAGCTGGCTATATGACAATGCCACGTGTCAAGTGATCAGCAACGGAAAACTCAGTGAGCAACAAGACAAGCTGGCTGATTATTGTCACCGTTGTTGTTCTGAACTGTGGTGGACTGGATTATGCGTCAGATTGTTGGTGACGAGGAGTCAGGGATACGCTGGACGATTGGTTAGAAGACACTAGAAGATCTGGATTTCTCAGATGATATATGTCTAACGTCACACAAACTCGAAGAGTTGCAGGCAGGCGAAGAACAACAAACTGACTGAAGAGGAAGCAAAAACAGGACTGCAGGTGAGCATTTAGAAGACGGAGGTGATAAAGGTAACCAACCACCACCACCAGGAACAATAGCCAGCACCAATCACCATCAGAGGGAGGGATTTAATAGAGGCTGCCTCCTTCATTTATCTGGGAAGCATCGTTTAAGCTACAGGCACATGGCACGGATGAAAATGTCAAAGCCAGCAACTTAGGCAGAATCGGAAAGACAAGCGAGATATGCATTCATCAATCTGAAACCAGTTTGAAAATCTCCCGCATTCAGCATAAGGAACAAGATTCGCATTTTCAACACCAGTGTCAAGTCAGTCATTCTTTAAGGGTTAGAAAGTTGGCCAGCGTGTCACGAAAAGGATTTCCAACACGACACCGCAGACTCTTATCAACGGCTGCCTTCTCTGGCTCCGTAGCGAAGAACAAATGACCAAAAAGAATAAGCAACACGTAACTCTGGTTGGGAACAAACCAACCAAGAACCGATTGCTCAACAAATATGTAGGAGAAAATGGAGATGGATAGATGATACGTTGAGGAGGCCATCGAATAACATCACGCATAATGGGAGGTGACGAGTTGGTCGTCCTAGGGTGATATGGGGGAGATTGTGTGAGAGATTATGGGCAATCGTGGACCCAGCTGAAGGGAATGGCTGAAAATAGAAGAAATCGGAGATGTGTTGTTGAAGCCCTATGATCCACTCGGAACGCAATGGAATAATAACATAATATCGCCAATGCGGATAATATGCGCAAATAATGGATATCCCTGTGTCAAAGAGAAATGCAAAAGTCAGTACACACTGGTTGGTGCATTTTTTTGTCAATTCTATCTGTGGGAATTATATCACTAGATGAAGTCTTGCAACAGAAAGATTTTCATGGATTTACAGAAAATTCCACAGTACTTTTGAAGTAAGTGCAGTGTTTAGAATTATGTAGGTATGAGAAATCAAATCGTTTTTTCTATAAAACACTTTATCAGTACTTGAGTTTCAGAAATAAACTATAATTATATATTTATATTTATTGTGTACCATGAAATGCCTAGGAATCAGTTGATTTGTTAACAGAGGGTTTTCACTGAAAAACTAATCTAGTTGGACGCTCAACCGAACATCAAGCAGCGAAATGTTTACTCGTTTCGGTTCCGAAACTCCAAATGTTTGAGTACTGTTACTTGACATTATCAGATTATCATGCGAGCAATAAAAAATAAAGTGAACACTGCTTAATAGGAACATGTGTTTCAATTACCTACTAGGAAAAATGTTTCTCAGGACAGGGAATATTACCCGAAGTAAGTAAGTAAGGCTGTGCCACAGAAATTGTATCCTTTAAATGGTGATGATTTCAACCCTGGTTGATGAGTAAACCAATACCAACGACAGGGTTTTTCTTAGCGGTATGCAACAGAACAGGTTGCAGCTACTTTCACACATACGAATCAATATTTCATCCTACCGTTCAAAATTTAGTTTCATCAGTCAAGTGATTTTATTTGTTTCTGTGTGCACCATTAAGCTTCCCTAAGATTGCTAGTATTCATGTATCTCTTTTCTGCATAAAGTATAGTGATTTATCAGTGAGTTATTATAGCTCCACTCTGCCAACTACCATTCAATTTTACGGCACAAATGTCCATGACTCTGTGATAGTAGGTCTGCTCAATATATATATATATAGATGCTAACTAACTAATGAAACCTCATCAATATAACTGTTTCAGGATTTTATCATGAACTGCAAACCCTGCAAACGAATACCTGAATATCAATATAATTGTGTTGAATGAAGGCTCTGCTTAGATTCGCAGTCTACAGCCTACTTTGAGTAGCTGAAGTGTGTTTTCCATTTATCATCTGTAAACTAATGCTTTAGGGTAGATAGGTTTGAAGCGTTACTTCATCCAACTACTGGACGCTACGTGGATATATATGTTGACCAATTTACTTATCATTGCAGTAAACATTGAGCTACGATATATTAGGGTTGTTAGACTAATTAATCATTTGCATGGAATACACTACTTATTTGTAGAAATTTTATTTTATTTTAATTATTGCTTGATTCCACATCATATTATTTTGGTACAAGTATGGAATTTTCAGCATGTGATATCGGTAGCCCAAATTTTGCAGTGGATCGAACCTTGGACCATATGCATGGCCGGCGAGAGTCCTAACCGCAGTGCCCATTTGACTGTCTTATCTCAACTCGAAGAAGCATAATATAAAACAAAGCATATATATGGTTTTTAATTGAAAAAATAATTATGTTAGCTTATCAATAAATTCTTTTCACATATATATATGTATATATATGTTCACTTGATGTTCAATATTTTTTTTCCAATTTCAGTATTTTTTTAAACTGTTACCATCTGTACAAAAAGCTTAATCACATCATTTGCATCGTCATAATCATTAATATGCATAATCGTTCTCATTACAAAACTGTTTTTTCTTTTCCAGAGAGAAGAGGAAAAATAAATAAGATCAGTGGCTGTGTGCAGGGGATGACAGAAAAACAAAAAAACAAAAGACAAAAGCATAAGTGGAAAACAAGAATTTAAACTGCTCAAAGGCTGTAGTGTTCCTCTTTTCTTTAACCAGCATAACATTGTAATAAGGAATGTATAATTATGGTTGATTTTTGAAGTTTTTACACTTTTTACTTTTGCTTACCATACTGCTGTGCACTTTAACACCAACACCAGTGTTCCAATGACTTGAAAATCACTGAATCACTTGGCATAATCTCTCCTCTTGAAAATTTTTGATAAAGCGCTGAAGTCAGGCCGGTGGTTCGCTTCAGCCAGATATCTTAAATAGTTTAAGAGATATTTGGAAGCGAGTGGACTGGTTATTATTGGAAGAGGTGATCAGAAGGAAAGGTTGTCTTGACTTAAAATATTGCAAAGTAGGAAAATTGGTCACCGTTGAACAGGGAACACATACAGTTTGAATTATTATTAGTATTAGTATTATTGTTATTAAGCAGGAAGTTGAGATCAATAATAAAAAAAAAACAGTTGATTTGACAATGAAAAACTGAATACGTATGCGCGATAAATAAACAATCAGTAAGCATCTTTTAGTATTTTATCCTTTATGTCATGCCTTTTCTTCTTCTTTTTCATCATCGTCGTTAATGTAAAGGCCAAATAGAGTCTGTTAATTGTTTATGTCCTGTGTTCTAATCTTAACATTTCAAAGGTTGTTTAAAATATAATGAAACAAGAAGTTGAGTTGTCAGCGTTCTCCTCTCTCTCCAGTGGGGTTGGTTGATCAAGTTATCTCTGATATGTGGCATACGTTATGACATTAAAAAAAAAGAAGAAATTGAGTGATTTATTTCTCTCCTAAAATAAAATAATTTGGTAACCATAGTCGACCACCTTATAACACTTAAAAATGGTATATGTGCGTATGTAGGTATATATATGTATATAATAAAAAAAGATAGCAACCATAAAGAGCAGAGAAATACGATAGTTTTGTTGAATTTGATTCAACTGTTTTGCGATTATCTATCATCCAGCAAGTCAAAGTAGAATAACTGTTTTATTTATTATGTTATAATTTCTGGATTAATTTGACAAGATTTATCAGAAATATAAGGATTTGAATCCAACTGCAACTGTACAGGAGAATAGTTTTGCTCGTGTCGACTTTGCACACATTGACTTCTTGTTAAAGCGGTTAACGGTAATGTTTGCGCGGAATAATAACTTATGGGATTATTGCATACTGTAGTGTTGTGTAATAAATTCCCTAGTTTATGTGGTGTAGTATTCATAAGTGCCGAATAATGACAATGATCTAAGCAGTTGACATTAATAGTACTATCAGTGTTGTTCCAGTTAACTATGTATTCATCATTCCCTGGTCTTACTGTTGTTGCTGTATTCAGGTAAATTGAATCGATATTTGAATAGGAGACATAATTCTGTTGATAATATCCAAAATCAGGTGGTATATGTGGCTTTGATGATTTTAAAGGATGTGAGCTATGTGCACTAGTTGTATGACTAAGTGAACAGGCAGTCTGACGACTATTTAATCTACTTGTTGATTTGTCAGGAAAAATAGAATGCTTGACTGTTGTCAATTGATTAGGATTCTGTAATTCTGTGTCTTCTTCTTCTTGTTGTTGTTGATGCTTTACTGGTTCGTAGGGTATTTGTGTTAATGTTACTTTTTGAGGCAGTTTTCCTGAGTGAGCGATGAAGGAATCATATAATGTTTGATTTTGGAGTGCAGGAATATTAGTGAGCAATTCAACTATTGACGGTACTGATAAGTTTTTATGCAGCACTGGATTTTCATCATTTTTAGGATAATAATCGCTAGTTATGTTGTAAAATGATGAATTCGGTGAAAAAAAAGGACTTAAGGATTGGTCATGGGTAAGTGGATAGTCATTGTTATAATTGAATTTTAAGTCTGTATTGCAGTGATTTTGTCCATTCGCTTGATGATCATGGTTATGAGGATGTGATGATGCTGGCGATGATGGCGATGATGATGATGACGATGATGGTAGTGGTAATGCATATAGGGGTCAGTCATCATACTTTGTGCCATTGTCATTGATTTTGTCGACAGTTCTCTAGTTAAATCTGTGTCAAACAGTGGATTAAGGAATACTTTGGACGATTGAGTATTGTTCACTTTAGGTAATGGTAAATTAGTTGCGTGATGATTAGACTTGGAAACATTGTTCTCCTAACGATATAAAGCAGCAGAAATGATAATAGATATTTATTTATATATATACATATATTGGTTATCAGAGAAAAATTGTGAGTAAGCACCCGCATTAAACAAGCATAAAAGACGTTGGTTACGCCCAACGTTATGCTGTAGATTCGCTGATGAAAAAGTTAAGACTTGTTGGGAAAGTAGGCTTTTTATTATTATTATTTTTATTATCCAAGTAAACGATTAAATACCCAAAAATCAAAATTGTAGGCTATGTGCGCTCTTCAAAACACATACACTGAGATGTTTAATATAATGCCAGTAGAATTAGTGAAATGGCATTTCTAACCATACTTATTAACTTGGAGGTTTCATATGTTGTCTTTATATAAACACATTTGTCTGTGTTCCGTCTATCTTTAGCCCTAAAGTTCACTGTATTTATATTATCGTTTACATGCAAAAACTGACATTTACATATAGTTGCTTTCAATAATATGTATTATGCAAAATATGCATGACGCTAACATGCGTATACAGTGTTGATTACACTTACACACACTTTGTTTTGATCGCTTACACACTGAATGATCTTATATTACACGTTTTAGGGGGGTTGTGGTGGTGTTGGTGGTGGTATAGGATGAAGAATCAGAATCAAAGTTGTTCATAAAAAGGCTTCTTCTTTTTTTTGCTTTTCATAATAATAACATGAATGAATTAATAAGTAAAAGTAGGATTCTTTTCATCTTACCTTGAGGTATTCTATTCGGTGATCTCAGAACTGTGCGTACTGCCAGCCATAGAGATAGATGTGTAGTTACACTTGATGGGTGTGAACATAAGTACTCGAATATATTCAGTATAAACAAGTCAAAAATCATGGTATTTTCAGATAACAGCATATTATAATAATAATTTTTGCATCTTTCAAATAAATGAATTTACATTGAAAACCTTACAGTGTTAGCAAGTGAAAAAACAACTGCAGAAAAGTTGTGTTAATCACGCATTTCATTGTAAATGTTCTCGAGCGTATGTATACAACTTTTTGATAACTACGCGGATATGACTGGACGATATTTGGAAGTGTCACAAACAGTTTTCTGGGCAGTATTTGTAGGTCACAGAAAATAACAGTTAGACAGTAGATTACACCCTTTGTTTTTTGAAGAACTAAAGAATACTAATCAGGCTGTAATTACTACAAAATTTGAAAGAAATGAAACAGTGTAAAACATCTAGGGAATTCCTCCTGTTTGGGCATTTCATCTTTCGGATGAAGAAGAGAATCTGATTCACTTGATCGCTCTGTCAACACCGTTGCTAAGGGAAATGAAAAATTGGTACCAAATGACAGATAGTGGACGAACAATTTTTTTTTATTCCTTCACGTTCCCAGTGGAACATAGGGCTTCAAGCTAGAGGCTTGAAGTTTCGGTAGCAGTGGCGTTTATTTTTACGGGATGGGGTTGCTAGCCTCATGCCCAACCTTTCCTCTTCACCTGCTTTAGTTCTGGCTTAGCGAGGTAAAGGAGTGCGTCGGTGGCCGGGTATCGAACCCCGGACCATGTGCATGGTCGAACAATTAGTCAGTCGCAAATCCAGGTGGTAGACAATACTACCTATTATGTATAGCTTTCCAATGGACGTAAAAACACAATTAACAGATAAATTTATAATCTGGGATTTTGTAGGGATTTTCAGATCCACTGAGTCCTGAGCCGACTTCCGCAAAACTAGAAACTAACAAGTAGTACATGTCAGTCAGGGAATAGCTGAAATCCAAGGAGTATTGCACAGCTGTAACGTCTTAGTTTAGATCCCTTCAGCAGTATGCACCCAGAACCTTGCGGTCCTGAGGTAAGCTAGTATGCCACTCAGCCATTCATTGGTGGTCGTGCTAGAATCATAAATTAGTTGAATTCGGAATTCATGGTCCGTTGGATAGGGTCCCAGTGGCTGAATGATTTAAGGGCTTAATTTATGGCCAGAAGGTTCTGGGTTCGAATCACGGTTGGTGCGTACTGCTGAACAGTCCAGTACTTCCTGGACTGGTTTCCAGTGGTTCTCTAACTGACATCAAATTGAAACAAATCAATAAATTGTCGATTCACTAAGAGAATTTCAGATAAATTTGTATTTAACAAATTTGTATACTGAGTGCCATACGGAGACAATGTTGATACTCGGGTAGCTGCTGGTTAGTTAATAAGCGTTAGTTACCGCTTCCGTTTGTAGCTCACACATTCAGTCATTACCATTCCTTCCATAATTAATCTACTAGACTAATTCTATCTTGTACAGTAGTCTCTTTAGAGAATGATTTATTACTTTTGTCGTGTTCCTTTTTCAAAATAGAGTCTTCAGTGCTTGCCTTCACTGTGAATTCTATTTTCACTCCATGTTTAACAGTATTTTTGTGGCTGTCTGGCAACATTTCATAGAATGTTTTGAGGTCATTTAATAGCAAATGTCAGACAACATGACATTTATTCTAGATCTGCTACAAGGGACTGTTACCAACTAAATAACATCACGTAACAATGATGAATTCACTGTGTGTTATTTCTGTGCAGTGCATTTCTAACAAAAAGAAAAAGTTTAGGATTGGGGATTAAATACAATAACTACGATTGCCTTTCACTCGATTATCTATCTATCTATCTATTATTATTTTGATTTCCTTTTTTACGACTTCTAAGAAGTATTATTGTGTTATACAACAGAGTACTTTATTGAATATATATATATATATATATTAATATTTGCAAATACACCACCAGCCTAGGAGGTGTATGCATGACGGTTAACTAACATTCTAGACAAATTAATGTTAATAAAATACAGCCGGTGTTATGCATACAGAGACGGAATTTTGTTTACCCCGATACAGGTGCATTAGTAATACATTTTGTTATGTGACGTAAACCTAATCACACAATACACGTACAAGAAATATTGAATGCATTTCAGAGTCAGTCGGATTAAACTCATTAAATAGGAAAAGGAAGAAAAATTTACAGAGAGTAAATTACCATTTGTAGAGAAAATAAATAAGTAAATAAGACGTATCTAAGATAAGCGAACAGAATTGCAAGTGATGTTTAATCCTGCTTAAACACGTATTTATGAGGAAGACCACTTATATTCACACTGAAGGTAGCTAACACTGACATTAATAGTAACTGAGGTCGGTTATATCGTCAAGTTTACTAACATGAAGATGAAATAAGAAATCTTACAAACGCCTTGCTACAAAACGACTATCCTACCAACTTTGTAAAGAAGTATATCTATGAAACTACACATAAAACTAAGCGAGACACAGTAAGTAAGAAAAAGCTTTACTTAAATGTACAATTCAAAGGCGATATATCCAGCGATATATTAAGCCGTAGATTAACGAGATCAATTGAAAGAACTTTTAATACCGCAAAACTGCATGTCACTTTCTCAACCAAACCGATATTGACACTGTGCATTAAAGATAGATTACCCAAAATGGCGACATCAATGTGTGTATATAAATTCAACTGCTCCTGTGGAGCTAGTTATATAGGTCGTACCCAAAGGAATTTATCTTTACGCACTCGTGAACATATTCCTGTTTGGCTTGGGAAAAGAGCAACCAAATCATTAAATAGTGCAATTCTGTCTCATCTAGTGGATAGCGAACACTGCATCAAAGTAGATGAGTCATTTACAATTGTGTATCGAGTACCGAACAATCTCCCCAAAGGCACACGATTACGCCTCTTAGCCATAGCTGAGGCTTTAGAGATTAATGGAGAGAGACCAGACCTATGTGTACAGAAAAAACTTATTCACTCTCTCTGTCTACCCTGGCCCACTATAAGGTCATCAGGATCATAATTTTCCGTATTATTATTACCATTATTACCATTCTGTGATATCATGTCTTTATTATCCATTTCTCCACCCAGTTTATTCCACCTCATTGTTACCCTCAATTTTTGTCAACCTTTATGATTTTATATTAAGCCTACCAATTCTGTAACATCTTATTACAATTTACAATTTAGCCTCTTTATTTTATCATTAGACATTATCGGTCAGCCCTCACATTCAGTGTCCCCTTTGTTAATGTGTGTTTGTATGTATTTTGTCGTTATCACATTTCTCTCATCCCAATGACACTTATATTCTGTTGACTAGAAAACAGCACTATATCACCCAATTGTTCATTCACACTTCATCACATTTTTTCTGACTATACACCCTATACACATTTGATTGATTATGTTAACTAATGGACTATCATCTCAACTTACACATGCACCCCAATACAGTTTATGGTATTATTTTCATTTGCCTTTATTGGCTATATGTACTCTATTATTCATGGATTTATAACTGTAGAGCCTGAAGAAGAAGAAATTATCGAAAACAATTGTTCGCTCAAAATCTTGTTTTGATTTTAACAGCAATAATCTGTGCACAACTGTCAAAGCCAACAACCACTATTTAGACCTTAACCAAAACGGTTCACATCACTTGCAATTGTGTTAGGTCGTTTGAAGCGGACAAATTCCATTAGGTCAACAGAATCAAGAATTTTGCAGAATACGTAGTTATCAGAAAACAGCTTAATACCAGCAATACTATCAAGACTTTCTTCTAGCAGACAAGTCTCATTACTGATATTAGTCATCTTGTCGTTAACTAGACCGTGTCCTGGATTACATTTCCTGTAAAATGTCTTATCTCTAAGGGAAATACTCTAGTCGAAATACAACCTCGTAATTAGCCATGATCACTGGATTATGCGTCAGACAGGGATATCCTGGACCGACGTCAAGAACCTAGAAGACCTGGATTTCGCAGATGATTTATGTTTGATGTCACACAAAATCGAAGACTTACAAGCGAAAACCGACAAACTGGTCGAAGAAGCAGCAAAGACAGGACTCCAGGTGAACATAGACAAGACGGAGGTTATGAAAATAACCAACCAACAACAACAACACAATCCAGCGCCAATCACCATCAACGGGAGGGATTTGAAAAAGGTTACTTCATTCACTTATCTAGGGAGCATTGTCTCAACCACAGGAGGAACGGACGAGGATGTCAAATCGAGAATCGGGAAGGCGAGAAACACATTCATCAACCTGAAACCAATCTGGAAATCTTCGTCACTCAACATCAACAACAAAGTGATTCGGATTTTCAATACAAACGTCAAGTCAGTCAGTTCTTCTATACGGATCAGAAACTTGGCGGGTCACAAAGAATATTTCCAACAGCCTGTGCAGACCTTTATCAACAGCTGTCTTCGCTCTATACTGAAGATCAGATGGCCGGAAAGAATCACCAACAAGAAACTATGGGAACAAACAAAACAAGAACCAATCGCTCAACAAATATGCAGGAGGAAGAAGTGGAGATGGATCGGACACTCGCTGAGTAGGCCGTTGGGTGACATCGCGCGTCAGGCCAACGCTCGAGTGGAACCCGAAAGGGAAGTGGCGAGTGGGACGTCCAAGGGTGACATGGAGGAGAGCAGCTGTAACAGTATGGACTAACATGGACGCAGATGAAAAGTACAGCAGAAGACAGAAGCAAGTAGAGATGTGCAGTTGAAGCCCTATGTTCCACTAGGAACACAAGGGAACAATAATATAATAATAATTAGCCATGATCAGTGTGAACGATTGATTCGTCTATGAAATGATGTTATATATTGTTATCTTTGTTATCCTAAGCTTTCAAAGTTCACTATATATAAAAAAAAACTTATCGTAAATCATTATTCTATGACAGAGTTAAATAACAGAAATTGAAATTATTATATAATTATTTCTACTTTTTTTTCTCTACTTACCGAAACATCTTGTTCACAGACAGATGATTTTTCCACAGGTGGACATGTTTTATTTGATGATTGTCGTTTTTTATAGCTAAAATTTAGATATATATTTTTTTCAAATAGAAAAAAAATAGCTAAATTTCAGTATTTTTACAGGATAAATGGGCATGTTTCGATTGAACAAAAAGAAGAAAAAAGACAATTATTATTTAGTAGTGCTAATAAAATAATAATAATAATGATACTGTGCGCAAGAAGAGCACACCTGTCCGTGTAGGTGTAGGATTCACGATCAATATCAAATAATCCTAAGTATTGTTGTTACCTTATCGCCAGTCGTGTTGCAGTCAATATAGACAACAAATTCAAATGGAAAATGAGCTATTTTATACAGTTGTACAAGAGTTACTTTATAATAGCAGGGCGAATTCTACTTATCATTCGATGGCATGAATAAATATTGTGTGTCAATAACCTTCGGTGAAATGTGTTGCACGATTTTAATCGGGTAAATCAACATGCTTGAATTCGCTGTTTTTTTTTTTTACAGTGTAATGTGACATAGAAAAGAAAACATTGGCTACTAGTACAGGAATTAATCAGTCTGATAGTCTGTCAACAAATAACAGTCAACAGTTATTTGGCCTGATACAGTTTGTAATAAATCTGATGAACTGGTTATTACGCCTGACAGACTATCTGACTATTCTCCCTCGTTCGAAGACGACACTGATAATGAATCACTTTGATGCCTTATATATATCTGACTGGGCAGTCAAAAATATTTGGATGGAAATTTCAGAAAATCAAGTAATACTTAGCAGAATTGTGCAATCACCCTTGCATGCACAAACAAAGTCGTATCAAATTAGGTGAAATCATTACACAGTCTGGGTGGCATCAGAAAGGCAACAGAGAATCTGGAAATGGCAAAATAATCTATCTGGTCGTAAGTTATTGAGTTTCACTTAAATTCACAGCATCACTGCAAACATGAGCACTTTAGTAGTTTTCTATGGTTCGGTTTGTAAGGGTTAGTTTTGTTTTTACGAGTTGATCACGGATTGATATCAGTTAGAGAACCATTGAAAACCAGCTGGGGGTACTGGACAGCCAGCTGTTTCGTCCTAGTGCTTGGGAGTCATCGGCAGTACGCACCCCACCGCCAGGGTTCGAACCCAGGACCTTCCGGTTACAAGGCGAGCTGGCTCGTATACCATTCAGCCACTGGGACCCGATTCAATGGCTAGCCCATGAATTCCAACTTCTACCAATTCGTGATTTAGCGCTTACTGCCGATGATTCCCAAAACTAGGACGATATGAACAGCTGTCCAGTACTCCCTGATTTTCAATGGTTCTCTAACTGATATCAATCCGTGATCAAGTCGTAAAAACTTTAGTAGTTGTCAATCCGTCAATTTTTAAAAAATAGATCTAGACATCCCAGCAGTTTCCAGATATTTCGATGCTAATCGGAGTGGAATTTCAAAAATGTGATGTGGAAGTTCAACATTTTATAGCCAATTTCATCTTTTATGCAGGACTGACCACCTGTTTCTTGTTTAACTTTCTTAATTCATATTTTCCATTCTTTTAGCATACTGTTCAAACTCTGATGAAAGCAAATGGGAATCAATGGGAAGACAGCAAATGCTGATTAGATTTCTGAGTTGTTTTCAGTGATTTCTATTCAAAAGTGCCAAATTTCAAGAGAATACTGTGTGCAAAAACTTCCTGCCTATTGAATGTTGTTCCTTTTTTATGTTGTACACTAAGACAGCTACAAGTTTGCTCTACCTTGGATATTATCTTTTTAGGGGTTTAATATTCTAGAAAGTTCCAGTTAGCAGTTTAAACTAGTTTCACTTACTTGATTGGCTTTTGCACACACACACACATATGTGTGTTGGATGTTTCATAGTAGAACAGATGAGTTAGTCATTTGTTCACTTTGTTGTGATACAAACGTCATGTCATGTAGTGTGGAAGGTTATCGTGTATGTAGTATCTACTTCCATTTGGTCTGGTAATTAGTAAATGTGTTTTACAGGTCTTGAAAATTCTTTAAATATCTCTTATGACATCCCCAATTATAATTAAAGTGTGCTAAATAGAGTACATTGTTTTTTTTTCACTTGTAATTAAGACGGGGGAACACTGATCCATTGTCTTGAATTAATAAGGATTAACTCACCCCACCCACTGGTATTCATCTCATTCTGGTGACAGATACTCTCATTTATACACTAATACATAAAGTGAAACTCATGGTCTCTAATTAATTAAATAACATAAATTTTTTAAAAATCCTCAAGATAATTTACCGAAACCTGTTAATAACATTAGTACGATAGCAAAATAACAGACATTGAGGGGGGGGGGGGAAGAAGATATCTCTCTTACAACTGTAGAATAAATTTGTATATATATATATATATAAACAGATGGCAGCTGTTGTGTCTCATTATACGGTCTGTTAGCGAAGTCCGATTATTTATATACAGAAAACAAAATACTGCTGTTGAGTGATTAAGTGAAATCAATACAGAAGATAAGCCTGTTCACTAGTTAGGTTTTCTTTTAGCACCTAGTATATACATATATATATCTTGAATTTTGAAATTAGTATACACTATTGAAACGAATGGCGTCGGTGGCATAGCGGTTAGGACGCTCGCCGACCATGCACATGGTCCGGGGTTCGATTCCCGGCCACCGACGCACTCCTTTACCTCGCTAAGCCAGAAATAATGCTGGTAAAGAGGAAAGGTTGGACATGAGGCTAGCAACCCCATCCTGTAAAATAAACATTGCTACAGAAACTTCAAGCCACTAGCTTGAAGCCCTATGTTCCACTGGGGAACGTGAAGGAAAAAAAAATTGAAACGAATGATTACCGTATAACCACACAGCTCAAATTTTTTATTTAGTCTACACCAGCGTAACCAATATGTTCTAAAGTCAACCTACTGATTGTCAACTGAAGCGAATTCAGAAAAAGAAAAACCCGAAACCATCCAACAATGAAAAATGAATAAACTAATCCGCTGAAGCTGGTGGAAAACTATCTAGTTGATTGCAAATATTCTGGATCTCATCAGCATTTTCACCTCATCAGTGTAGTAATGCAGTGGGATTCTTCAAGTTCTTCAAATTTTCAAACCTACCAATTTATGCTGAGTAGAGTTTCCTGGATCAGCAGTTGTTCCGCTGCTTAACAGTCATACAAATTGATTTTAACTGATTAAAAATGCCCATTAAAATTTTCAAAAGAATAGACATGGAACAAAGAGAACTCTTTTCGATAAATTCTTCATCAGGTTCTACAATTATATATACATTATAATGAATGAATAAATTAGTCTTATGATGTTTAAATAACATCAAATCAATAATATTGATAAATTATAGCTGAACAGCATCAACATAAAATAAACTGAATGTCAGAAGAATTAGGAAAGGTAATGGTACAAATTCATGAGTTTATAGTCTCTACTGAGGGCCAGGGCAGTAGTAGGGGCTGGACTTGTTTCTTTTGGACACAGAGCACTGGTTGTTTGAGGCGAATTGCAATAGCCTCTGCTGTTTGGAGTATGCGGTGTTTCGACGATTTCGGTAGTTTGTTAGGCACCCGGTATATTATGGAGAAGGATTCTTCCACGCTGGCTTTGTGACCGGTTTGAACTAGATGGTCTAAAATCGAGTTGTTAATAGTTTTAGCTACACCTTCACTTAGCCATAGTGGGATATGTTCTCGAGGACGAAAAATCAAGTTCCTAGAGCACAGGGGTCAACAAAACTCGCTCCACAAGCGCATTTGAATTGATTGTTAGTGGAAAACATTACGAATGATTTACAGAGAAGACTTAGGAGAAACACATTTGAATCCAGTTTTAAATACAAATTAGTCAGCATGTAAACAAAGTATCATCAATTTCAAGTTCAATTTATCCAAATGAGTATGCATATGTACAGATAAAAAGTATATTTTACAGTTGTATCTGACCTGCACGTCCACTTTGAAAAGTAAATGAAACTTATATAAAAGAGGTATAACAGATTATCGTTTTCGAATCAGCTAATTGAGACACACGTTTGTGAAGTTATTTCTAAGCCATTATGGCATACTGTCTATTTATTTATTTATTTATATTTTTTGTGGAAAACTAAGTATAATATCAACAAATAATTATGTCTGAAAAAATGTACCGACCACTGAAACTGTTACATTGAAGACCATCCGTGGTAGATGTCGAAATGAATAGCAGTAATCTAATCTAATCCAGTATTTTAGCTAACCTGAATATCTCATGGACATAACAGGCCTACAAATATCTGCAGCAGTGTTCAACGAGATACTTCTGACACACACACACACAATATACAAGACGAATTAACCTATTGCAGTACAGTGCAGCTTAATGACACAATAACACAGCGGGAAAACACATCAAAAAATAGTGAAAAGACAGCAGCAAGGTAGACAGGGACCAACTGGACTTAAAATGAAAAGAATGTTTGAAATAAGAGTTCCCAATGGAACATAGAGGGCTTCAAGCTAGAGGCTTGAAGTTTTGGTAGCAGTGGTGTTTATTTTTACGGGATGGGTTTGCTAGCCTCATACCCAACGTTTCCTCTTTACCAGTCTAATTACTCACTTAGCGAGATAAAAGAAGAGTGCGTCGGCCGGAGATTGAACTACGAATCACCTGCGTGGTCGGCAACCATTCTACCTCTGTGCCACCGACGTACTACATTTATATATTAAGACTTTTATAAAACACGACAAGTTATCTGGAACAAGAATAATTTGAGTGAACATTTATACCTTATAGTCATGATGGCAGGAACAACACAATACGGTAGTCAGTGTACGGTATTTCGATGTCACAAGTAAGTGGTAGTAAAACACACTCTAAGTCTCGTAGACGAAATTAAAGGAGATATTACAAAACGTCTTCGTTGAAGAGATCTCTGTCGAGAAAGCATTAGCTACAACTGAGTACTTTTCAAAGGGAGCAGTGGAAACAATTCATTCAGGAATCGATAAGGTCAATCAATGGCTTCCGTGCACCTAGTTATGTGCTCCGTATTTATCGAATTATAATCATAAGTATTTGTGAATATGTAGGTGAATTTAGATACAAAGGAAAGATAAAGAATAATAACGGATTAGTTCCATCCAGTTTGGAAGACATGACCATTAGCGTACAGCAGGTCGAAGGTGAGGAAGTAACCCACTGAAGAAGACATTATGAAGTGGTCGCCCTATGTCATGAATTAGCAGAGGCTGGCAGTTGGATCCGATCCCAGTGGCTTAATGGTCTACTAGCTAGCTCGCCTTGTAACCAGAAGGTTCCGGGTTCGAGCCCCTCTGGTGAGTGCGTACTGCTGAAGAGTTCCAATCTAGGATGTAACAGCCGTCCAGCACTCCTTGGTGGTTGTCCAATGGTTCTCTAACTGACGTCAGCTCATGACGAAACCCTCCAACCAATCAAAGAAAATCACTACAAAACCAATGCTTGAAAATAATGAACAGCGGGTACTTTGAATAAGACATTTACTGTGCGATAGGATGTTGCTTGTGATCCATCAAATGCGATTCAACTGTGTCTTATAACTTTAGCTTAATCTGTAAGATTCGACAAGCGAAATACTGGGTGTAAGTTCATTGTTTCATTGTTTCTTCGCATCTTTTACAATAAATCACCAATGCCACTTTTCAAAAAAAAATCTATAAGTGTTTGGTATACAAAAGATGTTGAAGAAAACCACGGTCCACTGAAGATATTCTTATCAAATTCTTCATGGTTTCGCAGGCCTTTATCGAACTCTGACTGGTCAATAGCACATTTCATATGGAAAGATTCTCACAAAGCTTGTTTACTGGAGATGCACAACTCAAACAACCTTCAGTATGAATTTGCGTTGCAGAGGAATGATCAGTGTGACAGAGGAGACTTAAAGTTATGCAACTTCTTATATGGCAAAACTGACTCCTAGTGAATCGAACATAACTTTTGATAAGTTTAAACTGCATTCTGGCATTTAGCCTGGAGCGCATATTGCTGGAAGATTTCAATTAAAATTATACAGTAGTCTCTCAAGGCTTCCTAAATGACTTCAGGTGATAATTTGTAATTCTTTTTAATGCCGAACAATAATTAGTTATATATATACTCATATATATGTCAGCCTTATTTCTATCCTTGTTCTGAGCTCATCAAAACCAAGAGCTTATAACAAAAATGCGGTCAATAATATTTTTTATTATGCACCTCTTCTGTCACAAATCTGTTGACTTACCATATTTGAAATATTGAACATATAAAGAAAAACAAAAGCAATAAAAGCAGAACACCGATTGCTGAAAATAACAGAACACGAGCAAAATTTGATTCACAGCCTAATGAAAAATAAGAAAAAGAAGAAAAGAGATAATAAATTAGACTGGGTTTAACACTTGATGATCTCTTCCATTGACAGATTAAAGCTGAAAGAAAATGTGAGTCACACACGAGAATTTAGAATAACTGTCTAGTGTCCTGTTACCTGAGCTACATTGGATAGATGCTAGATAAATTGGGTTTAGCTTTATTCTCAGTGCTGAGGCTGCTGTTTCATTGGAACCCAGAGACTAGTAGTAGTAGTTCTTAGTTTCACCGATATAAAACAGTTCTTTAGGTCTAACTAGTTCTGGTTCGATCAGGAGTTGACGTCAGTTAGAGAACCGTAGGAAAACTTAGAAGTGCTGGATAGCTGTTTCGTACTAGTTTGGGACCCTTCATCAGTTAGCACCCACTGATATTCATGGGCTGAATGGTCTGCGGGCTCGCCTTGTAACCCGAAGTTTCTGAGTTCGAACCTCGGCGGGTGTCTACTGTTGAAGAGTCCCAAAATAGGTTGAAACAGCTGTCCAGTACTCAGTCATCTAACTGATGTGAACTCGTGACCAAATCTGTAACCAATCAAATCCCCGCAAACCAACACTTGATACATGGTTCTGTTATCATAACAGGTAAAGTTTACAGAAAAACAGTTTCAATTGTTCTTCTTTTTTCGATTGAAGAGGGAGAAATTCTTGATCTCCTTATGATATTGAGCCAAGACATTACTATTGTTCATCATCGTTTCAGGAGATGAATAAGTTTAAAATAAAGGGAAATTATACAAGTGAACGTGAACAATAAGTTCAGTCAGTGTACTTATATAAATATATATATATATATACTTGTTCAAAGCGAATGCTGATTTGCCAAACTAACATGAAATCTCAATGTGGTCACCATTTCCGATCATATAATACATATCGTTATTCGATTTTAATGACTTCAGGTAAGCTTGTTAAGCGCATAGTATTTCCTAATGGAATAACAACAACTCTGTTTTATGGAATTCAAAGTTTTTTTTGGAATGACCACCAAATTGTGCATGTTTCAGGATTTCATCATGAGCTGACATTAGTTAGAGAACCATTGGAAAACCAGCTGAGAGTACTGGACAGCTATTTCGTCTTATTTTCCGGACTCTTAATCAGTATGCACCCACCGGGATTCGAACCCAGGACCATCTGGTTACAAGGCAAGCTAGCTCGTAGACCATTAAGCTTACTTACTTTGCTTTGCTTCGGCTATCTCCTACGGAAGGATGAGCCGGTTTCATGAACATCTCGACTCATCGCTGCCCAGGCGCAGCGATCTGATGAAGAGAGTTTACGAAGTTTCATGGGAATTTGGTACGAGTGATGTCCCCAGAACCACTCGGCCTTTTGTTTGAGAGTGCAGCTCTAGCCTTTACACAACCAAGTGTGACCTACAAGGCAGTAGGAGTGGAGTAGGGAGTCCACTATCCATTGGCAGCCGGTGACCGGAGTTCGGTTCATACGCCTTTTTGAATGGGGCCAGACATCCAGGAAATCCAACAAGCCCTTTGTCCATACGTTTGCCGGTGAGCTCCAGTGAGCTTCTTACGCCAGTCGTTGGAGGTTTGGAATCAGGGTCTAGCTATCAACCCTAGACTGTCATCCAATGGACAGTCAAACCGGTGAAGAGCGCCGGGCATCCATTTTCGCCCTCTCACTTTGGTGAAAAACACCTCCGCCACGTGAAGGCAGTGAGTAGGACTTCCTGAGGAGAGGCTTTGTAAGACGCCCAGTCATATGGGAGCATTTCAAGAGGTGTGCGGAGGGGTGGCCAACCCGCAGCGCAAGGCACCCACCCCCGACCATTAAGCCCCTGGGACCCACTCCAATGACCCATGAATTCTAACTTCTGCCAATTTATGACATAGTGGGACCACTAGTCAATGTCTTCGTCGAGTATTTGTCCTCACACCCGACCTGCTGCACCCTACTGGTCACAACTTCCCACTACAACCCCAGGTAACTACCTAACTGAATAGGGCAAGTCGCTAGTGAGCATCTCATTGATATTCAAGTACCCTACAAACCAACACTTGAAAAATTGTGTATGTGTTTGTGCTGTATGCAAAGCACTGACTAAACAGTCATGACAACAAATCCCACAACCACACTGAAAGGTAATAGTGTTTTGCGTAATTTCCTTGAACATTCACTGACAATTAACATGAGTAAGTCGCATAATCAAGCATGGATACGCAATCCATTTAGACGGAATAAAAAAATGATGAATAATTATACACATAAACTCTTCACCATACGTTATTCCTATTTACTGATTACTCGACAATAGCACTGGATACATATTAGGGGCTACTATCAAGCGATTTCAGGTGAAATGTTGAAAGATGACTTTTAAGTGAAATTTAAGTGGATTCAAAGTTGTATTCTGTGACATCTCATTATATAACAGATCCGGAAATTGAATTTCTAATCAATTTTTTTTAATATTCTGAAATGAGTTTAGTTCAACTTGTCTACTTCCTTTCATATCTGTTGTGATTTGTGATAATGTGTGAACTTTTATGAAGGGCAGTTGACTTTTCTTTCTTTTCTAAGCATAGACTAGGTGCTTATATTTATCGAAAATATATTGTTTCTCGTAACACGAGTAACAGACACAGCTTTGGTTGGGAGAGAGAGAGAGAGATCAATGAAAATAAAGAGGACAAAATAAACAAGAGTCGAGATGGATTATTGATGATTGACAAAGTGTGTTTGTAACCCTGTAGGGGATAGAAAGTGATTATATACATCTTGACAGTACACTGCGAAGACAACTTCCAAACTAAAGATTCTATTTCAACGAGTTGATCACGGATTGATATCAGTTAGAGAAGCATTGAAAACCAGGGAGTACTGCACAGCTGTTTCAATGGTTCTCTAACTGATATTAATCCGTGATCAACTCGTAAAAACAAAACTAACCCTTACAAACCAAACTATAGAAAATTAATCTGATGCTCGCTAGTAACTTGCTACAGGATGGAGTTTCCTGGAGTTCTAGTGAGAAGTCGTGACCAGTGAGGTCCATCCAGACGTCACGTGCGAGGATGGATGTCCCGACGACGACGACATTGGTTGGGGTCGCGCTAAAAATCACGAATCGGTAGAAGTTAGAATTCATGAGCCGTTACATCGGGCTCCAGTGGCTGAACGGTATACGAGCCAGCTTGCCTTGTAACCGGAAGGTCCTGGGTTCCAGCCCTGGCTGTGGCTGCGTACTGCCGATAATTCGCTTAATAATAATAATAATTTGCTTTATTCCAAAACAGTACTTGTGATACAGAATGGAATTCTCAGCATTTTTACTACAGTATTGCATCCAGTTTGTACATTATCAATAAATAGAATTCTACATAGATTGAGGAAACTGCAGTTCATTACTACAACAATACATTGGCATGTCAGTAGCAAAGGTAAAGCTGAAACAGTGTTTGAAGGTGTTAGAAAAGTGGGAGCTGTCTTATTAACTGGCGTAAGTGAGAGAAAGAGACAAAGCAGCACATAACGGAAAAAGAAGAGAGAGAAAAGGAATAGAAAGAAAGAAAATGTTGTACCTATAAATGATGTGAGTTGGAAAGACGAGATCCAGTTGTACTACTGACTATATAATGAATTATAGGTGTCACGCCTAATGCTTTCTTTATCACACAGAACACGAGCTAAGTAGGGTATGGTTGAGTTTTTGTACTTGCTGGTGCGAGCATATAGTTTTCTATATAGGCTTCTGGTTTCACCTGATGAGATGCAAGGGGAGAGTTGTGAATGAAGAGGGTGATGTGAGTTAGCTAAAATGGATTTTGCCCATTTTTCACATGAGTCCATGTGCCTGTCAACCAGAGTATTAGCAAGCTGGTTAAGTGGCACGTTGCTTACCCTACTGACAACCTTTAACATCCTGCGTAATATGTTATTGTCTTTCTTCAGTAGCCCGGGAAAAACTAAGGGGGAACAATGGAGAATAATAGGGAGAATGCGAGAGTCAACGAATTGTAGGAGTAAGGGTTGGGTAATACCAGAATGTTTAAACTTTTTGATGTAGAAGATAAGACGGAATATTTTCTTAGAAATTGCTAAGATATGGGACGACCAGGAGAGATCAGCAGATAGAATGACACCTAGGTATTTAATTCCCGATTTAGTTTCTATTTCAGTGCCGTCTATGTTGCATACCTCGTAAGAGCCAAACAGTTTGTTTAGGTCAGATTTATGCCTAAAGGTGAAATTGACTGTTTGGCATTTGGAGGGGTTTAGGGTAAGACCATTTTCCTTGGACCACTGGCTGATTTATGACAGAAAGCCATTAAGTTTAGAGCAGTCGCTTTGACATTTGATAGGCAAAGATACAGTCAGGTCGTCAGCGTATTTGACAAAATTAATGTCATTTGAAGATGGTAAGTCATGTAGAGAGAAAGAAAAGAGAAGTGGGGAGAGTAGAGCGCCTTGGGGGACTCCGGCTTCAGTGAGTACAGCAGAGGATGATTTACCTTTGTACACGGTGTACTGCATTCTGTTTGAGAAGTAGGAATGCAACCAGTTAGTGACCCAGGAAGATACGAATGTCTCTACAGTACTACCTGGTTTTCAATGGTTTTTTAACTGATATCAATCCGTGATCAACTTGTAAAAATAAAACCAACCCTTACAAACCAAACTATGGAAGATTCCATTTCTTTCAGTAACCGGAAAAAACATCAAAAATTTTTGTATAGTTTGTGTATAGCTTCAAATATTCTTACTTGCGCAACAGATGACGCAATACTTTTAAAAAAGCACAAGCAAATGACACAATAAATTACAGATTACGTGTATTCGCTTCACAGTATAGTAACAAGGCATATATCACCTTTGGCATATAGTTTACACCATTGTAAATGCTAAAACGTGAACATAAAATAGACGAGTGTTCAGAATGTCTTCTTCTGCTTCTTTATTCTCTGTTTATGAACTGATGGTTAAAATTTACAACACACCTTCAAATTGAC